GCCTTCCACTGCTGTATAGTAAGCATTTCCTATACAATCAACAATAAACAGTGAATGATGCAGTTCATAGAGTATTTTGCACTTGGGGAAAAAAATGTATCTGAATTTGTAAAAAGAAATGTTTGGATTTTGTATTGTCTTTTTTTATTATTATTATTATTATTAAAATACTAAATGAAACTCCTCAGCCTGACATCTTTTTCTCTGTATCAGTGGCTTAACCTAGAGCCAGTAAAAGCTTTGACAAAGTGGGCGCTGGCTTTCTGACAAAATTTACCCAAATTTTTCACTTCTCTATTTTATTCCTAATGATTTGAGAATTTGAGATGGCTTGTCTCTTTGTTATTTTTAAAGGTATTATCAAAAATTATCTCCTGGGGGGATCTAGGAGTGGGATAAATTTAGGGTATTATTCCTCCTCACCACAGTACAGTTCCCACACGCTGACCAGCCCATACGGGACTCAGACACCTCTCTAGGTAAGTGTTCCACCTCTAGCAAAGTACCAGCTCTGAGAATTGCCCATGGCTGTTCTTTTCATGCAGTGCAATGCCACCAAGTAGAATTCTGCAATACAGATCATTCAGCCTCTACTCCCATTTGCTCCTACTATAGGGCATGGGAAAGCCATCTCCACTCTCACTTATAAATGAAGAATCCCAATCATAGGCTTAGACACAATAGCTAGAACTCAATTATTGCAATTATAAACATACCTGACATAAAATTCCATTGGATTTAATACTTATATGATATAGCAATTTAGGAGAAGGGAGTGAAAATATGTTGGGTTGGCCTACCAGAATACCAAACTCTCCCTTCAGCATCTATAATAAAGTAGGTACATTCATTCCACAATTACTAAGCTCCTATTATGTGCCAGCCATCATGCACCAAGCTATCACAGCTTGTAACAACGGCCATGAATAGCCATGCTCAAGACTGACACTCCTCATGGAACTTTCTGATTACAATTGATCTTTCCATATAGATTTCCCAACAGGAAAGAGAATACACTCTGCTTGGTAACTGTGAGTATAAATTAATTCATTGGCATTCTATTTTATACATTAACTTCCAGTGAGTTTGATTTAATGTTGACAAAATAAGAACACCTTTACATAGACTGACAAAACCAAACCTCTAGAATTGCAGAGCTGAGGACCATATCCAGGACCATCATGATTATATCAACTTGGCAACAAGCCCTTTGTCTTTTCTCTTAACCCTCTTCTTTTCCAAAAACACTCAGTCTTCCTCCTTACTTCCTGGAGACTTAGAATGATGTCCTATAACGATGTATAGTCAGGGCCATTGAATTATGGGTCTGTCAATATTAATTTTTTAAAAAGATTTATTCATTTATGCACACAAGAGCTGGGGCACAGGCCAGAGATGCAGGAAGTTGAGAGGATTCACCAGAGACAGAGCAGAGAACAGAACAGGCAGATTGAAATACACTGCTGAGAGGAGCAGCAGGCAAGTCAGGAGAGGTCTGCTGTGCCATGTGGGTAGCTCCCTGGCCGGCCGGGGATCGAACTCACGCTGCAAAGGCTGAAGCAGCTGCAGAGGCTGCAGCAGCCTGCAGAGGCTGCCAACAGCTTCACAGCACTGCACTTAACTCCTTGAGCTACCAGGGAGACCCTGTCTATATTAATTTTTAAAGCGGGGTATGTGAAGGCTTTCCAAGGGTATGTAAGTAACACTTTCCAAGGGGCACCTGGACAAGAAGATCAACCTAAGGACAGTTTAAAGGGAGTAAATTTCCAGATACTCAATTTCCATATGAAATCTTCCCTAAAACTAATCTATACCAGAGCCAATTGGCACTTTCATGCACTCCATTCCACGTCTGCTTTCACCATAGTTCTTTCTTACTTTACAAAAGAAAGGCATATCCCTTATCTACAATGATTCTTGATACATGACCCAGGGTAAAAACCTGAGGAGTGGGAGGAAGGGATTGTCTTTCCCTTTCATATCAAAACATTCCCAATACAATCAGTTCTTGTATTTCATCTTATAAAGTATTTACTATTTTCTGCCTCCTACCAGCAAAATATGAAATTGTTACCTGTTCAACCCACCACATACCTTTCTTTTTTATTGAATACATAGGGAAAAGTTGATCATGACGTCTAACAATTTATTGGAATTATTTCTGATTTTTAGACATGATTTTAATGGTTCCCAAGAGCTGAATATCAGAGTTCAGTATAATCACATACCCACATCTGCCAGGGTTAACATACCTTCTCTCCTACTACTCACTTAATAACTTGATGAATTTAGCTATACATTACATGGCATTGTTCCAAATTACATAACAGCACTATCTTGTTTTTATAATTTTTGTCATATTAATGTTAGATCTATGTAGTTTTAACCTTGATTGGTTTTATTAATAATTCATTTCCCAGTGACTTTTTAAAAATATTTATTTATGCATCAAGAACTGGGGTACAGGCCAGAGGTGCAGGGGATGAGAGGATTCACCAGAGAGAGAGTGGGGAGAAGAACAGGCAGATCTACTGAAATACACTACTGAGGGGAGCAGTGGGAGAGACAGGAGAGGTCTGCTGTGCCATGTGGTTCTGCTCCCTGGCTGGGGAATGAACTTGTGCTGCAGTGGCTGCAGACAGCTTTATAGTGCTGAGACTTAACCTCTTGTGCCACCAAGAAGGCCCCCCTAGTGACTTTTATAATACTCTTAAAAATGAGTAGTAATCTATTTATTTGAATTGAAGAATAAAGTCAGAATTTTTTCTGACAGTAAGTTATCTTTGGCAGACTGGTTTGAAATAAAGACTGACTAGGGTAATTCTGTAAATGGCAGGTGTTTTCCATATTGAAGCAAATCTGTACTTTAATATTTTAACAAAAATATCCTGAAAACATATAACAAGAATTTTATTTTAAAAAAGTTGTACTGACAAAGGAGTATGAAAATCATACCTAACAAGGTTTTTTTTCTGAGTGAAAAGTAACAAATAATCATTTTTATATGATTCAAACTGAGTCTAGTGACTAGGTAACAAATCCTTTTCCAAATTCAGTGGTTTGCTTTTAATAAGATCAAAGTACTTTAAAATACTTCTGGTAATTATGATTGTTGACATAATTTAGCAGTAGTGCAAAGACTTGAGAAATACCATTGTAATAAATCTGTTCCTTATCCAATCACAATGTGAACAGTTTTTCAATGCTCATGTATATAGGAATAAAAAAACGGCAAAGAATTGATGTTGCACCTTATCTCCTTTAACTATTAGGTAATATTCATCCATGAATACCTGAGTAAATTGCAGAGAAATCCTATTTCTGAGATGCATTTTCAATAAAATTGTACTTTCAGTTTTCAAGTTACAAAAAAAGCATAATATATTTAAGTCATTTCATAAATTGTGTGCTAATAGTAACTGTAATGACAATTCAACTCAAAAGCAATTTTTTAATAATTAAAGTCTGTTGTCACAGGTAATCAATTTATACTTGTTTTTGTTGCAAAGAAGTGTGACAGTGATGACTGAAGTCTTTAAAGCAGACTGTAGTACATATAAATTAGTATATACAAAATTAGTATATACAAATATACTAATTAGGATAAAATTTTGCCAGGAAAGTGAACGGAGGAATTCAAGAGGAAAAAATATATGCAATTTCTATTAAAGACAAGTTTTGTTCATATATTTTTAAATGGGCACCAAATATTGGGGGTATTTGGACGCCATTGGCTGCATTTAAGAATGATGTAATGGTTTTAGTTTAAAATATCAAAACTTACAGTAAGTCTGAAATTATAGTCTCTATAAGTATTTATGATGGAAAATTTAGGTATCAACTTAAAAATGAACATGGGGATACTGAGTTCTTAAAAAATTCCTTTATGAAGTCTGGTTTTTAAAAAAGCCTGGAGATCCCTAACCTACATGGTATGTTGGGGGAGTGGGTCTCCAAGACAGAACAAAAGCTGCTAGAATGATCTTCAACCCTCCACTCCAAGGAATCTTCTTCAAAAGCTTTTCTGAGGACCGGAAGTTACTCGACATTAGAATCTATTACTTCAGATTCACACACCGCTTTCCCAGTTTTTGTTAAACATGTAATGGGAGAGGTCATTAGATCAGATTAGGATCTGCAGTGAATGTGAAAATGGACAGATGTCATTTATTATGGAGAAAGGTGGTGGGGAGGCTTGTGGGAGGACAAACCAGGGCAATCTGAGTTCTAGACCCTGCACTATTCCTATCTAGAAGTTTATGGGACTGGATGAGTTACTGATTCTCTCTTTATCTATGAGAAATATCTTGTCAAACTTCCACAGAAAAGGAACAGAAAGAGGGCACTGAGATCAGGCTGTTTATTTCTGTGCCAGGCGGTATTCAAAGGATCAGTTATTAACCGAAAGGACAGGCCCATCAGACGTTGTCACTGGATGCCCACCTAAACTGAGGACTGGGTGAGAAATCTGGCCCAGCGCAGCCTCTGGAAATGTGTCCCCCCAAAATAAGATGAGAAGAGATATCTAAATTGGAAGGGGAGAAGGGCTATTTCCTGGTGAAGATTTTCAGTAAGGGGAGCAGAGGAACAGGATGTCGGTGCCCAGAGGCACCTTTAACTACATACAGCAGGCCCACACCCAGTACTTGTGTTTCTAGTTTATCTTTATAATTCCTTTTAAAATTATTTTTAAAAAAGTATTTGGAGGGGGCAGGGAAGAATACAAAAGAAACTAGTTTAAAAATCCAAACTCAGAGAGGGAAGTTTCTCACCCAACTCCTCTATTAAAAGGCAACCGCTACCCGTTTCTTAGCTAGCTTTTCGTATTTATTTTTACCAAAAGCCCACTTCTTTTCAATTTTCCCTTAGGTTTTTTAAAATTCCTGAAACGTAACCCCTTGGGTTTGCTCACCCCTAGGCGAGTTTACAAGGGGAAGGCGCTGATTTTGAAAGTGGGGGTGAGGCTGTCGGGAAAAGAGAGTGAACGAAGCCACGCGGACCTTCAGGGTGCACTTCCTACAGCGGAAAGTCCCTCGCGGCTCGGCGGCGCCGTCGTCCTCCGCAGAGCGGGTAATACCTGCAGCTGCTTCCTCCAGTGCCCGCGGCGGGCGCGCTGGAAGGCGCGGGGGCCCGGCCCCGGCCATGCGCTCCGCAGCCCCAGTGGGCGAGGGGAGGCCCGCAGGACCCGCGTCCTGCCCCACCGGCCCCTCCGGCCGCCCCCGCCGCCGGAGCGCACCTTCTCGCCCGCGGGCCGCGGCTCCTCCCCGCGGCGCCCGCCGCCACAGGTGGACCGCGGCCCGGGCGGGACAGGTGGCTGTTCCTCATCGCCATAGCGACGACCCGGCTCGCGCGCCGCGCCCAGGCCCTGACCGGGGCGTCGTGACGTCATCACGCCCTCCCCGGGCGCCCGGCCTCGCGGGCCTTGCGTCACCCCGGCCAGGGGGCGGGGTGGGGCTGCGAGGGCACCGTTCAGAGCCCGGCCTCCCGGGCTCCAGGAGCCCGGGAACCGGGATAAGCGGGACGGCGGCCGCGGCGACTGGGGGTGCGCGGTGGAGCGTGCCCTGTATTTTCTATACGGGTTCCGGGGCCGGCAGCGGCGCGCCGAGCGGAGAGGAAAGTGCGGCGGCCCTGGAACCTGGATATCGCGCGAGGCAAGCTGCGCGCGGGCGGGCGGGCTATGGCGCAGGCGGGTTGCGGGGCCGACGCTGGTGGCGGGGCCCGGTGCATGGCGGTCTGTCGGCGGAGTCGCCCTCGGGGGCTGTCAGGTTGGTGGCTGCGGGAAGAGTGGGTTCACCGTGCCCGGGGTGGGAGGCCGGGCGGGCGCGGGGCCCCGGGAAGGACCCGAGCCCGGCGCGCCCACCCTCCTCCGGCCCTAGCCGAGCGGCCGGGCGGCTGGACGGCGGCCCGACCCCTCCCCCACCCCGGGTCCCTGCCCCTCGATTCGGCCCTGCGACTCCTCCCCCGTGACTCCCAAACCCCGTGACAGCGCCCGCCTCCCACCTCTGCGACCCCCACACCGCTCCCACTAACCCTAAAACCTCACCAGGTCATACTCGTTTCCCACTCATTGCCTCCGCCAACCCAAATTTCCCCAGCGCTGCCCAGGGACGCATCAACCCAATGACTGCCTTGGGTCCTCATCCAGTGACTCACGAGCAGAGAGCCCCACAGGCCACCTTGGGGACCCCAAACCTCAGTGACCCCACTGGCGCGGTCATCTCCTTCTGCTCCCTACAAACTTAGTGAGCCCCCTCAACCTTTACTGGTAGTTAACTCTTAAGCTGTGCTGCAGTAGTTTCCTACTTACATCAGGAGTACTCTGCTCCCACTCATTCATCTACGTGACCCTCAGTAATTCCTTCTGTACCCTGTAATATCATGATCTTTATTCCATGGTCTCCCCTGATCCTGAAATCACCCCCACTGGCAGTCCTCTCTGACACTCCCTGGGGCAGTGACCCCTGAGACCTCAGCCCCCCAGTGTCAATCAGCACATGACTTACAAGTGCCCCACTACTTTGCTGGTACCCAGGAGCATACAGAGATGAATGTGAAGTAGTGATAGTTAGAGGCATCAAACTATTTTGGTTTGAGTGTGTGGCCCCTGATTCAAGTCCCAGCTCTGCCACTGTTGTGTTTTGGGAACTGGGGTGAGGTTGCGTCCTCACTGTGGACTGCAGTTTTTCATCTTATTGTGATAAGGTTGGCTTAAATGATCTCTTATTCCTTCCAGTTGTGACATTCTGCAGTTCTCAGTCAAGTAATATTTGCTTGCGATTTTATTTGTACCCTGCTTGAGTTTACTCTTGTAACCTCACTCCAGGGTCCACTTGCTTCATGCACTTTTTTCCTCATTCCGATGACCCTCTACATGCCCATTTCCCGTAAGCAGGTCCCATCTGCTAACTGCTTTGCAAACCAGATAGCAGAAAGTTCCAGCCCCCGGGCATAGATGTAATAAGAGACCTGGGTTTCTCCATGACTCTGGTTCGGGGACCTTAGACAAACCAGTTAGCCTGTCTGAACCCAGTCTACACCTCCACTAAGGGAAGATAATAGTAGTGCCTGAGATAATTTATGCAGAGCACTTGGCACCATGCCTGGCCCACGGGGAGCCCTTAAGCATAAACTGGATATCATTTTGCCCTCAGTGGTAGGGTATCAGTCACGAGCACAGGACCCATACCTTGCATTACCTTTCTGCCACTGATTCTTGGAATCCCTATCCTCTTATGTCTACTGCAGCCTCCTCATTTATCTGGCTCTTCACCCTGACAGCGCTTTCATAGTGATTGGCACTTTTTTTCTAGCACCTACTATGTGCCAAGCTTTGTATGTATGAATTAAGCTTATCTCTCAACAATCCTAAGAGGTCATTATTAGTTCACCCCTATTTCCCTTAGGGGTGAACTATTTGGTTTATTTGGTTTGGTTTTAAATAAATGCTTATTCACACGATGAAGTAACAGCTGTGATTTGAACTGATAGCTTTCAAAACTCACTTGCTCCATTGCCTCTCTTGCCCCCAAACCTATGTAGTTTTCCAGGTCACCCTCAACCTCTTGTTCCTTATCACATCAACTCATTCTGTGACCCCCAAGCTTTCCATTACCCTTTATCCATGATTTGGTGACTTCTTAACCCCGTTGCTCATGACTTTTGACCCAGAGGCCCTGATACCCATGTACTTTAATATCTCTTTTCATCCTTTGTTCACACTATCTCCTCACCCTTGAAACTCCTAGCACTCACTCTGTGATCTCACACAACCTAAGGCTGGAGGTGTCTCCAGCCTCACTGGCACTTCTCCAAATCCTTGAATCCTGTTAAGACCTTTACCCCCAGGAATTCACTTACCCTAAACCCCTCTAGCCAAGTAGTCTTTCATCATATGATCTTTCTATTTTCAGTCTTTTCTTGGTATTCTGGCTGACTTCGTCAATCCTCAGTCATATCCTGTTACCTGAAACCTTCATCTAATTAGCCTCATCCGTTGGGGCCCCCTTCACCCAGCTTCAGTGAAATTAGCACCTTGTATTCCAAGTGAACCCACCCTTAATACCCTATACACTCTCCTACTCTAAGATCCCTCCTCTTTACATCCTGTCCAACATCCTGTGAGAGCCTGCCTCACAGATTCTCAGATCTCATGGCATCTTCGTGATCTTTTCAGACTGAAATCGTCTTTCCCCTTTTCCCTCCTGCTGTGTCCCTGTCTCTTCTCACAGTATCTTTTTCTTGCTCTCATTTGTCTTCTGTTCATCCCCAACTCATCAATAACATTGGTGTAAACCTCTCTCCCATCCCATCTCTGAACTCTGCCTCTTCTCCCATTCTGTTTTCTTGTGACCCTGCTACTTGAATGACCCTGCTACTCTCAGCTGTCCTTTCTCCACACACAACTGTTCGAGCAAACCTCATTGGCCTCTTTGGTATGTCCAAAGCACTATACTCTTTCTTCTCAAGGAACTTCTGATAATAGATCACCAGGATTTCAGTTCATTAGGAAGCAAGGAGAGAGACCTCAGGATTCCTTCTGAATCAATATAGCAGCTTTCCTTCATATATTCCCACGATCCTGTCCTGTTTATGAAGCCCTGCTGTATATGCCCTCAGGGTAGAATGGTTTGAGTGTCAGCCTCTGCCAGCATTGAATTAGCCCCATTGTTTTCCATACCCCAGGACTTTCCAATCCCCTCCCACCGGAAGGCTGGGATGGTGAATAGCAAAATGTGTCATTAAAGATCCACATCCAAAAGTCTATTCTGTGGGTCACGAATCACTGGGTCTCCCATAATGTATAGCAATAAATACAGCAGCGGGCAAAACTAGAATTAAGGAAGGAGAAAATCCTGGTGTCTGGTGTCTATAAATTCTTTCAGTTGATTTTTCAGACTTTTTGTCTTAGGCATGTTCAGTCTTAGGACACACAACATATTCTGCCTTGTCTCTTAGTTGTTTGTGTACTTTTTTTTTAGCTACTCCTTAACCCTACTGTGATTTCTTTGAGAACAGAGGCTAGGGTTTATCTTCTGTCATTTTAATGGTAATATAATGGGGTTCATTATTCTTTCTATTTTTGTGTAAGTTTGAAATCCATAATAAGACGTTAGCAGGTAGTCACTAAATACTGGATTGAATGAACTCATTCAGTAATCTTACATCAAGTACAAACAAGTGAAAACAGTTTGTGCCTACATTTATTTTGTAGCCACAACATCTCACCTCCCCAAGCCCCTCCTAATATGATAATAGGTTAATAGGTAAGTTCCTTTATTTAAACAGTCTGGAACTTCCTTTTTCAGTCATTGATATGGGGGGGGGGGGCTATGTGTAAGTGCTTGTTTTTACTGTATTTCTGGTAAAACTTGGTTGACATAATTGCTGATACACAGTGGTAACAAGGCCAAGTTCTGTCACATATAAACCGGTTCTCGAAAAAGCAACTAGAGGATATATTTAGTGAAGGTTACAGAGATGATCAGAGAATAGAGGAAATCAAACTGGCAAAACATTGGTAGTTGTTGAAGTTGGGTAATAGCTTTGTTGGGTTCATTATATTGTTCTATTTTTGTGTAAGTTTGAAATCCATACTAAGACTTTAGAAAAGGCAGCTAGATGAACAAATGTGAATATAGCACTCTTCCTGGGAAAATCCTCCAAGCAAATGAACTGCTGTTACCGAGTCAGTAATATTATGTTGGTTAAGTAGCAAATTTAGTCTTATTCTGTCTCTGACCTCTTGTTTGTGAGATATCAGGATGCTAAATACAAATATTAGCACGCTGCTGAATTCTGCACCTGATGGCAGAATTATTATGTCCTGGCGATGAGCATTATTAACCTGGTTCTTTCCAGCTCCCCAGCCCAGGAGCACTTTCTCGTGATAAAGAGCTGGATTGGGATTTAGAAAAAGTAGGGGGAAGAGGGTGAAGAATCAGCTAACATCTACTGCTTCTGGCCTAAACTTTTCAGATTACTGGGGGATCCTAAAAGTATGGATATTCATTTGTGTACTCGTGCATTCCACAAATGCTTGGTGCATTCCACAAATGCTTAGATATCCTAGTACCTGGAAACTGAGTAGTGAATAAAATAAAGTTCCAGGACTTAAGGAATGTACCTGTTAGTGAGTGGATGAGGGAGGTACATAAAATAAATAGATCAACAGGTAAAATATAGAGAAAATTAAGCAGAGAAGAGAGACAGAGTATATGGAGCCGGTATCAAATTTGTTTTTTAATTGAAATAACATTACGCTATAACATTGTATAATTAATTTTAAATAGAGTGACCAAGGAATGTCTCACTGAAAAGGTAACATTTGAGCAAAGACCTTAAAGAAGTTAAGGAATGGGGGAAATATATTTCAATTAGCGTAAACAGCAGGTGCAAAGGCCCTAAGGCAGGAATGTGTTTAGTATACTTAAAAAACATGAAGACACCAGCAAGGTGAGAGAGGGGAAACATAGATGTAGGGGTAGGAGTAGTCTGGGGACAGATCACATAGGGCCATATCAGCCAGTGGATTTTAGTGTGAATTGAGTGAGATGGGAGCCATCGGAAAGTTCTAGGCAGAAAAGTGACATGGTCTGACATAAAGGATCATTCCAGCTACTATGCTGAGAATAAACTGTAGGGGGCAGAAGGT